TCTAGAGTAGCTGTTCCATTTGGATTTATACCTAGAGGGAGGAGGCTAGGGGTGCTCCTGAACCCCCTGCAATGAGCAGGACGGCTCCCCCACTTGTCAAGAGCAATGTGGAGAAGCCCTGTTCTAGAACAAGGTGCAGTGTCCATCCACCTCGAAGAGCTGAGAACTCACATTGTGTAATGCACTTTGCACGGGCCCTGGCACGTAGCAAGTGCTTAATAGAAACTATTTTTATTACTGGACCTCCTCAAAATAAAAAAAAGATGTTTAGAGTGTGGAGGAAGTGGTGGTGCCGGGAAGCAATTCTGCTGAATCCCAATTCCAGCAGCTGGCTGGAAGGATCTCTGACCTTCTCCATAGCAACAACGGACTTCACCAGGTGTGTGTCTGCCAAAGGGATAACCTATGCCGAGCGCCCAATTCCTCCTGTTGAGTTTTTCTGGTTTGAATCTCATCCCCTGCCAGCAGTTCAGCGACATTCCCACCCGATCACCTGGTCTATTATACATATTCAGCTGTCTTCCTCTCTTGGACATTCCCTGTGTTCAGAAAATACACACAAACTTCTCTGGTGGGAAAACCAAAACCCGAACCCCATCTCAGCACCCAGCCCCCAGCCTCGCATGCTTCCTGCAGCCCTGACCTTCTCTTTCTTCCCCTTTCCAGGAAATCCAAGAGACGTCCACACTCTGCTATCTCCTCCTTCCACCGTATCGAGTCAGCAAAACGGGTCCTGCCACATTTCCAACACCTGCCCATTGCCAAGTCGCTGTGTCTCCCTCCCTCTTCCTCTTGTGTCGCTTGTCTGCTGCCTTCAGCGCTTCTGACCACTCTCCCTCCTGGCCTGCTCAGCCTCCCAACCCTCCTGCCTGCTCCCACTCATCCTCCTTTTCTCAACCTGCAGAGGCTGGGCCAAGGTCACCACCTTCTCTCACTCTGTGCTTTTTGTTCTCAATGCCCCATCAGACTCATCCACTGCTGGGTCCTCACTAACCTCCTCCACCCAGAGACTCCCCAGTCCACCCATGGCCCCCATCCTGCCATCTCTGCCAAGCTGTCTCAAAACTCCCTGAACTCAGCAGTCACAATTGATCTCATATCTGCCCCACCAATCTGGTCTGACTCCAGTGCCCCCATCTCAGGGAATGGCCCTGTCATCAGTGCGAGTGGTAAACCAGCAGCTTAGGTGGAGTCCTCCATGCCAATCACCGCTGGCAGGTCCTGGGGGCATGACCTCAGTATCTCCCAGTCTCCCCTCGTCCATCATCCCTGCACCCACCTCGCTCGTCCCTGCTTCTGTATCATCGCCCATTCTCCCTGCAGCCAGAGATGTCTCTTACAGTTGCTATGGAATCCGAATCACATCACACAGCCCCACCTGCTGAAAACTCTCCAATCCATGGCTATAAGGATGAAATACAAACTCCTCACCCTGGCCTGAAAAGCCCTGCACTGCAAGGCCCAAGCCCATCTCCCCAGCCTGGCTGTCCCTGTGCACCCCCTGCCCTACACTCCAGCCACACTGGCTTCCTCCCTGCCCTGCAGCTGTGCATCCATATTCTTGTCTCCCCTAGCTCACCCGCTGCCACCTTCCCTACATTCCCACCAGATGCCCACCCTACCATGCACTCATCACCCACAGCTTCCTCTTCTGGAGCAGGTATTGAGGATACAATTTTAGTCATAACTGCCAGTGAACCACAAGCTTAACGAGGCCATGGATCCTTATTTCCTCCATTACTGTGTCCCCAGCATCTGACACTATAAATACTGTGAGTGGCAAACATTCAACACATAGAAGTCATGATAACAACCTCTGAGCAGAATCAGGCAGATAAACCCTAGACTGATCCCAGAGAACCTTCTGGAATCAAACTCCATCAACCCTCACCATCCCCTTCACCCCCAAGTCCCCTTACCCAAGTGTCTTATTCAACATTATCGGTACCACCTGGGGATTCCTGAAAGAAAACCTGTGTGGGTGTTCCCTGGCAGCGATGTGGGAGCAGTGCTTCTGTTACACCATGTAGCTCTTCACTCAGCCCACCCACCTGCAACATGGGTCAGGCACTATTTACCCCAGCAAGACCCAGAGCGCAGCTGAGCTGCCTGAAGTTGAACTCCTGTAGGAAAGGAAAGAGGAAAGACCCCACCCAAGAAGCCCACTGTCCTAGACAAAGAGAAACCACCACCAAGGTTTGGTTCTTGAATATGTATTTTTTACTGAAAAAATTATTCATATATTAACATACAAAAATGTACAAACACATGAGTAAAAAATGTAATGACAAAGGACTATTTTTTTGTGAAAAGTGTTTTTTAAAACATCTTTAGATTTCAGTGCAGAAATGTACCCCTGGCACCTCTTAAAACATAAGAGCAAGCTCAAAAACACGTAGTGATGGAAATAAGCTAGCTATGCTCAATGCTATTGTCAACGGTGGTGGATACAATCAATCCATGTGGCTGCTGCTCAGCTATTCATGTCTGTGGTAGAGGATCTCTGACAAGAGGACCTATTATGTCAAAATGAGTATGCTTGCAAGTACCCGCTTTCCCCCGAAAACAGCATGAACAGGGACACCTTTCCGTGCACACAGCAATCAAAGACAAGATTAATTTAAGGGGCCACCCATCAGTAGCCATAAAGAATTTCAGCTGTCAACATATACACAAGGTCACACACCTCTAAACACACCCATGTAAGCCACGACAATCCAGGACGTTAAAGGCAAATAAGGCAATTAAAAAAATACGAAGTACTCTTCACAAAGTACTCCTCATCACAATATATAAATATGTTGTATGGAAAAGAAAGGGGTGGGGAGGAAAACTGGCATTTTCCAGATTTCTACAGACCAGTTCGGGTATCAGATTGACAGTTATGTTTTTATACAAGGCGTCGTATGTGATGTTTGCAAAGTAGTTCAGGTTGTTGAGGCCATCCAACCCTTGCTGTTCTTTTGACTTCTTTAGCAGAGCATACCTGTTTAGGGACAGAACAGAGAAGAGATGGCTCTGAGTGAGGGTCCACACCTCTGCAGTCAGACGATGCAGCCAACGGGGCAGCACTACCATAGCACGAGCCACTCTGCTATGCCAGGCTGAGTGCAGTTATTAGAATCACCTGCTGTGTTTCATTCCAGGTGCTTTACTTATTTCATTTATTGCCCACCCAGCCCCTGCTAGCAAATGAGGAAAGGCTTAGTCATGTTAGGTAACGTGGACAAGGTCAGAGAGTGGGGAAGCGGAAGGGAAAAGATTAAAAATACAACAAATGAGAAAGTTCATACTCTGTATTCAGTGCCATTTTACTCCCACGAAAACAGAATTTCAGCAATTAGCATTGGTTGTCTGGCATCTGAATTTTTTTTTTTTTTTTTTGAAGAGACAGGGTCCATTGCGTGTTGCCCAGGCTGGAGTGCAGTAGGGCCATCACGGTGCAGTGGAGCCTCGACCTCCCAGGCTCAAGTAGTCCTCCCATCCCAACTCGGCCTCCTGAGTAGCTGGGACTACAGGCATGTGCCACCACAACTGGCTAGTTTATTTTATTTTTTGTAGAGACAAGGTCTCACAGTTGCCCAGGCTGCTTTTGAATTCCTGGGCTCAAGTGATCCGCAAGCCTCGGCCTTGCAAAGAGCTGGGATTACAGGTGTGAGTCATGGTACCCAGTCTATCATTTGACTTTTTATCAGCAAGGTATTACTTGTAATTAACAACAAACACATACTTTTCAAAAACCAAGCTACAAAGTAAACAGAAAGCAGGTGGAAGTTCTTTTGCCTTTGTTCCTTATTAGGTTACTAGTTACTTACTCCATAAAAGTATTACTTTATTCCACTCACACACAGGATTGTTCACACAAATTTGTACAATACAAGCCTTATGTGATGGCACAGCTACATCTTTGTAGACATATCACTAATATTCTACTCTTCAGTTGGAGTGGTTCCAATGAAGTGGGCATTTTGTACACAGAATGTTTGTAAAGTGGAAAGTTTTGTTAGAACCTTATGGCAGGAGGGCTGCTTAGTTATAATATTCTTTAAGAACCCTATTGGCATCCATTAAAGGACAAAACTTTAAAAAAAGAGCCTTAATGACTACATTCGCCTGCAGGAATTTAGCAAAAGAATACTGTATTACAGTCTAACTAGTGAGAAATAAAAAAGATCCTAAATATACAACAGGAAATAGTTACATAAATTACAGTGCATCTATATAATAGAATTAAATGGAGCCATTTAAGTTCCTGTTTACAGAGTATTTAATACTGATGTAATTAAAGCATCTATTGAGAGCTTATCCCATGTCAGATGCGCCAGAGCTCCATACACATTACATCATTTGATCCTCACAATCCTGAGATTTGGGATTTTAAAAACTGATGCACAGAGATTTAAAATTACTGTTCACCTGATACTTTTTAAACACAAAATAAACTCAATGCAATGGTAACATTTACTTCTTGTTGAGGGTTTTATTCTATTTCTATACTGATCTGTATTTTACAATGAGCATATTCTTTATTACAAGAAACAACTGCTAAATTATATTTTAGGTTTATTTTTCCATGTCAAGGGAGAAAAAAGAAAATAGCTGCTTTGGTGGGATATACAGTTTGTTTTTTAAGATATTAAGATACTTTTAAATTAAGATTTTTATTAAAAATTTGTAATTTGTGTGTGTGTGTGTTTATTTTTTACGACAGGCCTCAATCTGTCACCCAAGCTGGAGTACAGTGGCATAATCATAGCTCACTGTGGCCTCAAACTCCTAGGCCCAAATGATCCTCCCACCTCAGCCTCCCAAAGTGCTGGGATTACAAGTGTGAGCCACTACATCTGGTCAATTTCATTTTTTTTCCTTAACTTTTTAAACTATAGCTACTAGAATATTTTATATTACACACATGGTTTGCATCATATCCACATCTGATAGCATCGGTCTGCAGTCTAAGGTAGCATTTCTAGAAGATCCCAAAAACAGCGCAGTGGTACCTGTTCCAGAGGTCGTCATCTTCTCCACCCCATCCCCAGAAAGCATTAGGAAAGCCGTTGATCTTCTGAAACTGTTCCACTGTTAAGCCACTCACTCTGCCAAAGAACTCAGTATAAGGAAGCCTAGGAGGAGATGTGGGACATCAATCGTCTGTGTGTTACAGGGTAATTGTTTTCCCTAGAACGTTATTCATTTGAGGACTAAAAACAGTGCTCTCTGTGCTCCTGACCTGAACTATATGAACTTGCTTCCTCATGCTGACATGCATCAATCAAAGTAGCAAAATGAATTTTTGCTTACTGATTTGTTAATAGCTTGAGTGAGATAGTGTTCACACACCCATACACAATTCACCCATTTAGAGTATATCATTCAATGGTTTTAGTTTATTCACTGAACTGTGCAACCAGGACCACAATCTATTTTAACATGTTTCATCACTGCCCCCTGCAAAGCCTTGCACCCATTCGCAGTCACTCCCTAATCCCCCATGCTCTTTAGCCCCTTATTACCATTTAGTGACTTTCTGTCTCTATAGATTTGCTTATTCTGGACATTTCAGGTAATTGGAATCATGTGATACATGACCTTTTGTGTCTAGCTTCTTAATGTTTTCCAAGTTCATCCATGTTTTGGCACATAGCAGTACTTCATTCCTTTCTATTGCCAAATAGTGTTCCAATTATATGGATATACACACTGTGCTTATCCAACCATCAGTTAATGCACATCTAGGCTGTAGCTAATTAGATTCCCTTTTCTTCACATTGCTCATCATCCTTTCAGATTTAACCTCTTTAATTAAGAGGAAAAGATACTTACAGATACATGTACTTATCCAATGTGGCTGCAAAATGCCTTGGCATCTGTCCACATCCATAATAGTTGCAATCACTTTCTGGTATGTGATCCACATCATGAAAAATTAAACAGTCCCAATCCAAGTCCTTCATCGCTTCTCAAAAGCCAACATTGAAAAGCATGCCTCGATTAAAGGGCTGGGTACCAACCTAAAAGAAACAGAACTTCATTTTAAAAATAATCTGGAAGCAAAATCTTTACTGCCTTTGCTGTGCCTAAAGAAGAGCTGATTAGAACCAACTGGAAAAGATCACTGGGCTAGTATAACCAGGTCCAGCACCACACATCAACACATTCACAGTATGGCCCAGAGATCACTAGACCTCTGGTGGTGCAGTGGCTCACACCTATAATCCCAGCATTTTGGGAGGCTGAGGCGGGGGGATCAGGAGGTTGAGACTAGTCTGGCTAACATTGTGAAACCCCATCTCTACTGAAAATACAAAAACATTAGCTGGGCGTGGTGGCAGATACCTGTAATCCCAGTTACTGGCGAGGCTGAGGCAGAAGAATTGCTTGAACCCAGGAGGCTGAGGCTGCAGTGAGCCAAGATCACGCCACTGCACTCCAGCCTGGGCAACAGAGAGGAAAAAAAGAAAAAAGAAAAAGTCACTGGACCTCTGGGCCCCATTTTCTTTAAAAATATAAATGGTACAGCCGGGCGCGGTGGCTCAAGCCTGTAATCCCGGCACTTTAAGAGGCTGAGGCAGGTGGATCATGAGCTCAAGAGATCGAGACCATCCTGGTCAACATGGTGAAACTCCGTCTCTACTAAAAAAAAATACAAAAAAATTAGCTGGGCATGGTGGCTCGTGCCTGTAATCCCAGCTCAGGAGGCTGAGGCAGAATTGCCTGAACCCAGGAGGCAGAGGTTGTGGTGAGCCGAGATCGCGCCATTGCACTCTAGCCTGGGTAATAAGAGGGAAACTCCTGTCTCAAAATATATATGTATATATATATAAATGGTAGCAAACCCAAGCTTCTCTCTCAAGGCTACTGAAGATAGAAATTCAATTTAGAAGAGTACCAAACTCCACAAAGGTAAGAGAGAATATTCCCATTTCTACTTTTTACTGCTTGCCAATCATTCTCTTCGGCATATCAACCAATCTGTAGCTGTTCATAAACCAAATCTACTACAAAGAGTGGTTTTTGATTTTGTCTTGTTTTATTTTTAACATCTAAGACAACAGTCACTGAGCATGCCAGGGACTCAAGCCTATAGAGTCAAAGAATTCAGGCTCATGAAGAGACCAGTTCGAATCAGTTAACAGCCTAACTAGTGTAAATGCTACATTGACTCATGCTTGCCAGTATCAAAATACCCAACTTAGGACAGGCAGATAGACTGTTAACATTTCCCAGATGCCCGGCCTTGCTCAGCAGTGCTGCTCAGCCCTTCATCCTCATTCCCGTATAAGGCAAGCTCCAGGCTGACCCCTTAGAGCAAAAGACTCAAAAGTGTGCCCACAGGGAGAGGTGAGCATTCAACAGGCCCTCAGGCTGACAATCAGTGTATTCAGGAAAATCTGTCAACCTTTCATTTATCTATGGATACAGTGCCGCTAGTTCAAGGATCACATACTTCACAACGCCTACAGAAGCCACATCAGTAATGTGAGCATGTAAACTAGGCCACGCAGAGAAAACCACAGTAGGACAGTTGTGTTCCATCTAAAGCCAAATAAAAAATATGCAGGACCAGATAAAAGAGATTTACAGACTCAATTTTCCACCTGCATCTTGTTCAGTTTATGACCTCTATATCTGCTTCAGTACATATATATATTATATATATATATGTGTGTATATATATATATATATATATATATATATATATTTTTTTTTTTTTTTTTTTTTTGAGATGGAGTCTCACTCTGTTGCCAGGCTGGAGTGCAAAGGTGCAATCTCGGCTCACTGCAACCTCCGCCTCCCAGGTTCAAGCGATTCTCCTGCCTCAGCCTCCCGGGAAGCTGGGAGTACAGGTGTGCACCCTCAAACCCAGCTAATCTTTGCATTTTTAGTAGAAACAGGGTTGCACCTTGTCAGCCAGGATGGTCTTGATCTCTTGACCTTGTCATTAGCCTGCTGTGGCCTCCCAAAGTGCTGGGATTATAGGCCTGAGCCACTGTACTCAGCCCAGTACAAATATTTTTAAGATTAAAACAAAACCAAACCCTGAGGCTCAGAGAAGGGTGCAAATGTTCCTGGCCACTTGGTTAATTAACAGCAGACAGAGGACAAGCACTAACCTCTTGACTCCAAGGCCACATCCTCTGCGCTGGATCTTGCTGCAGCTCTTCATCTTAAGGGGAACTTCCCGGGTGTGGGGCCTGTAGGCACCAGCAAAACCACCGTACAAGAGGCCTTTGTTCATGTGCAAACAAAATTCTCTCCTGGATTCAAGTGTGCCTAGTCATGGGCAATAAACATCTCAAACCAGGAGCACAGAATTGTTCTCTGCTTCCCTTCCCACCTCAGGCAACTTAATCTTAAGACTTCAGTTTTGCTGGCTCTTCACACCAACAGTGGATAACCTGCAGCATCCTAAACTGCTGTCTCGGAAGAGAAAGAAGAAAGGAAAAGAAAGGACCACTCACTTGTTCAACCACATAAAATGCAAACTGCAGGTGCTGGCGCTGAAGCATGGGAATCAGGTGTCTGATCAGGACTGGGAGGTGCCCGTGGTGGTTCCGAAAGGGGATGAGGATCGCCACCTGGAGTGCATCACAGCAAAAGCAGCGCAGTTAGGACTCAACTTTCACTCCTTGCCACACTAACCTGCAGAATTGGTGACCAACCCACAGGAGTTCTTGGAGGCTGGCTATCCTGTCCTCAGCTTCCTCTAAACAAAGACCTATGTTGGCAAGTCAGCCCTTGGACCGAGATGAATGTTATTCTAGTACATAGTATGCCTGCAATTCATTCTAGGCCATAACTCATAGGAAAAAACACATTCTACATTGTGACAAAAATATATCTATAAGCTTACAATTAAAATAAGCTTCACAAAACAGTATTTTCCCTTACAACGTGCAATGTACAAATGCTGGTTAATAAATTGTTTTTATATCCCCACGGTGGGTTGGATACTGATCTGTTCCAGATAACACCTTGATGACTGCTGCATCACCAGCACGTAACAAGGCTGGCACAGAATAAGCCTTTTAATAGTTATCTGTTGAAAGAATGGACTTAAGCTGAAGACACAGCTTCTACGGTCAGGCAGTAAAAAATGAAATCTCAGTGTCAAGCCAGATAGCTTTGCTTTTTAATCCAGTAATCTTATAGTAACCAATGGGGAACAGGCATGAAGCACTGACTCTGTGCAGAAGACTTCTGCAAATGGGTGAGTAGAGACCACCAACACCCTCATCCCCTTGTTAATACTCCTGGCAGGAAGACCTAAGGGTCCTGCTTGGTCATCAGAGTAATGCAAATTTCTGTGTCTACAAAAGAGTCCTTGTGGGAACCCATTCCTGCAAAATGTTTCCACACAACGCAGAGACTTTGCATGAGGCGGTAGGATAAAAATGACAAAACGTCATGGTTAGCTAATTGCACGGTGATTCAGACCAAAGGCAAAACCCAGGTGGGCTTCTCAGCATTGTGGGTCTGACTTCACACCCTACCTTCCACCGAGGCATGCAATCAGAAGGCTTCCAGTGACCTCCGAGCTTGATGGTTGGGTCTTTGGAGAAGAGTTCATGCATGTAATCCATTCCAATTTCACTCATGTTTATGTCTATTGGGCCCTCTGAACAGAGAGAGGAAAAAGGGATTAAGAAGTCAGAAAATGATATGTTTTCCTCTGCCTGAGGTTTTAGTCTCTGGAGAAATGCAATGCTTTTTTAGCAGAATGTGTTTTTAGCTGGGATGGAAGTCTTTTCCTCTACTTTCCATCTCACTGCATTTTAGTTCCTCACTATTATCAGGGTAAAGAGGCAAATCAAGGAATTAAGGCTTTAGAGTTCTGCTTCTGTCAGGGGGCAAGAAGAAATGAAGACTTTTAGCTGAGCTTTGTTCTTTTTTCAACAAAGTCTGACTGTTGCCCAGGCTAAAGTGCAGTGGTGTGACCTCAGCTCACAGCAACCTCCACCTCTGGGTGCAGGCAATTTTCCTGCCTCAGCCTCCTGAGTAGCTGGGATTACAGGCATGCACCACCGCACCCAATTAAGTTTTGCATTTTTAGTAGAGATGGGGTTTCACCTTGTTGGCCAGGCTGGTCTTGAACTCCTGCTCTCAAGGGATCCACCCACCTTGGCCACCCAAGGCCCCCCCTTTATTTTTTCTTCAGTTTATTAGTATGTTTTAATAAATAGAGACGGAGTCTCATTATGTTGCGCAGGTTGGTCTCAAACTCCTGGGCTCCAGAGATTCTCCCAACTCGGCCTCCCAAAATCCTGGGATTATAGGCCTAAGCCCCTGCACCTGGCTGCAGCTGACCTTTCTGAGAAGGAGAAATACAAGTGCAGACACACTACCTCTCTCAATCCATTCACCAGTGGCTCAGGACCCTGACTGATTATGTCCTAACTCAGAATGCTGGTCATCTCTGACTTAAGTCAGGAAGTGGTACAGTAACAATCTATAAATGCTACTGAAACAATGAACTGTGATAACATTAATTTTAGGTCTGTCAAAGCCTATTTCTGATACACAAATCTTAGCCTTCCCAAACTAAGCTTATATCTAGATGCAGACAAATGCAGGTTTTAAAGGGAAAAACCTATATATGTGTGGTGAGACATGCAAATTAAACAGTAAGGCTTCCAACACAACTTATATACTCAAAATTAATTATTCATATGTGGATGAGAATATGTTCAAATACCATGTATGACTATTTCTAACACTTTCTCTATTTTCACTATGTTTGAGCATAAAAGTCAAGTTTGTAAATGTAAGATTTCCTTTTCTTGATCTCACTTCATAAAAAAAAAGTTTTAAAAGCAGAAATGGGGAACTATCTAAGCAGCCTAAAAACAAGGAAAGGTAAAAGAGTTTACTGTCCTTGTTTTAGCTCACGCGGGATTCAAAAACAGAACAAAAAGATCTAAGAATTTTTTAAACCAGCACTTTGTTAAGAAAATATCTTTCATTCAAGGCATGGTGGCTCATGCCTGTAGTCCCAGCTACTCAGAAGGCTGAGCTAGAGGACTGCTTGAGCCCTGAAGTTCGAGACCATCCCAGGCAACATAGTGAGACCCCATCTCTAAGATCAAGCACTATAGTCAGTGGGAGATTTATACTAAAAAGACAAAAGCTGATTGCCTATACAGTCATGTGCACTGACATTTTCACCAGTGATAGATGGCATATATGGCGGTCCCATGAGATTACAATGGAGTTGAAAATTTCCTATTGCCAAGTGATGACATAGCTGCTGTAATACTGTTGTGTTACGCAGGTGTTTCTGGTGATGCTAGTATAAACAAATCTACTGCACTGCCAATCATATAAAAATATAACACAAGGCAGGGAGCGGCGGCTTGCACCTGTAATCCCAGCACTTTGGGAAGCTGAGGCAGGAGAATCACCTCAGGCCAGGAGTTCGAGACCAGCCTGGCCAACATAATGCAACCCCAACTCTACTAAAAATATAAAAATTAGCTAGGCATTGTGGTGGGTGCCTGTAATCCCAGCTACTCGGGAGGCTGAAGCAGGCGAATCACTTGAACCGAAGAGGCGGAGGCTGCAGTGAGCTAAGACCACGTCACTGAACTCCAGCCTGGGCAACAAGAGCGAAATTCTGTGTCCCCCCAAAAAAAGGTATTCACATACAATTATTAGAGCACATCATACTCGATAATGATAAACTATGTTCCTGGTTTATATATTTATTATTTTATGTTTTTAAATAGTTATTTTACCCTTTGAGACAGGGTCATGCTCTGTTGCCCAGGCTGGAGTGTAGTGACACAATCATGGCACACTGCAGCCTGTTGTCTAGGCCTAGGTGGAAGGATTGTTTGAGGCCAGGAGTTCAAGACCAGCCTGGGCAACACAGTCTCTTAAAAAATAATAATAATTGGCTGGGCACAGTGGCTCACACCTGTAATCCCAGCACTTTGGGAGGCTGAAGCGGGTGGATCACGAGGTCAGGAGATCGAGACCACCCTGGTCAACAAGGTGAAACCCCGTCTTTACTAAAAATACAAAAAAATTAACTGGGCATGGTAGTGCGTGCCTGTAGTCCCAGCTACTCGGGAGGCTGAGGCAGGAGAATTGCTTGAACCCAGAAGGCGGAGGTTGCGGTGAGCCAAGATCGCGCCATTGCACTCCAGTCTGGGTAACAACAGCGAAACTCCGTCTCAAAAAGTAATAATAATAACAATAATTTAAAATTTAGCCAGGCATGTCAACACGCACTTGTAGTCCTAGCTACTCAAGAGGCTGAGGCGGGAGGATTACTTGAGCCCAGCAGTTCGAGGCTGCAGTTTTTTAAAAGTTTTTATAAACTTCTTAAAAGTTAACAAGTTTATAAAGTATAAAGGTGTAACAGTAAGGTTAATCTAGCATTAAAGAAAGAAAACTATTTTCTGAATCTATTTAGTGCAGCCTAAGTGTTCAAGTCTACAGGAGTGCACAGTCATATCCCAGGCCTTCGCATTCACATTCCCTTCGCATCCACTCACGCACTGACTCACCAAAGCAACTTCCATTCCTGCAAGCTCCATTCATGGTATGTGCCCTACACAGCTGCACCATTTTTTATCTTTTATACCTTATTGTTTACTGTATCTTTTCTATGTTTAGATATACAAATACCTACCATTGAGCTACAATTGCTGTAGCTCATGCTACACAAATCTGTAGCCTAGAGCAACAGGCCACACCATACAGCCTAGGAGTGAAGTAGGCTACACCATCTAGATTTGTGGAAGTATACTCCAGGAGGTTCCCACAACAATAAAATCGCCTAATGATACACTTCTCAGAAAGTCCCCTGATTGTGAAGCTATGAATGACTGTATTAATACTTTCTCTAGGAAGTTCAAACAGAACCCAAGTTACAAAGGACAAGCAAGTGCAAAAGAAAGAGTGAAAAGGTGGAAAATGGTAACCAAGAACACAGGCAACCTTGCAGCAGGCTTTGAGGAGCCAGGAGCACAAATGCCTCGCACAGACTTTGTTTCCAATGGCAGGGAGCTATTTACATTCTCTATATAGGTAGACAGAGAGATCAAGAGTGCATTCCCCTTTATCCATTATAAAAGCAGAGGAAGATGGGCCAGAGCTGTACTCACTCATGGAAGGGAGCCTTTCAGGGCAGGTATGGTTTGCAAAGTAGGTGAAGTCTTTAGGAAGAAATGTAGTTTGAAGGAAGGTTTCACTGTGGTTTAAGTCAAGAAGATAATCTAGGGAGGTAAAGGAAAAAAGGCAACTCAAACTGGTATGTGTAATCAAGCACGCAATTATTAGATGCCTACCAAACGAGTCTTTTTCTTAGCTATCATCTTGGTGGAAAGAGACAGCACTCTGGACTATCGCTTTGATGCAGCTGAAAATGTGAACTCATCAATAAAAAATGTTAACCAAATGACGTATTTTAACCTGTGCTCCTATTCCTGTTGAATTTACAGGTTTACATGCACTCAGTTTACAGTCAACTATAATTAAACGTCACTTTAAAAATAGCAATCTCCCTCCTCTCAGTTCTTATTTTCTTTTTTTAACGACGGGGTTTCACTATGTTGGACAGGCTGGTTTCGAATTCCTGACCTCAAGTGATCCCCCTGCCTCGGCCTCCCAAAGTGCTGGAATTACAGGCGTGATCCACCACGTCCAGCCTCATTTCTTATTTTCTAAAGGAACCATTTGCCCTTCTTTTGGCCAAGAATTTTAGCATTTATATCAGTATTCACCTCTGTCAGCCTGTATGGCTGGTCGTGATGCTTCTGTTTTCAGTCTTATCTACTGGCCTCCCACTATGGGAGGTGAAGACGTTATTTCCTTCCTCCTGCCACCGCTGCCACACGACCCCTTTCCATTCCCCAGTCTCCCAACAGTCACATATCATAGCTGTGGTTAGGACAATCTTCAGTCTTCGTATTATGATGCTGCTGTAAGTACTAGTCATAGCTGAGAAATGTGGAAAGTTATGCATCCTGTTTCTGTTTGCTCAGTTTTATATGCAATGATTCTAATTCAACACCACACCTTTCACCAAGACATTTCCTCCTTATATACACGTTAGGTATTCTCTACACTTCATCCACCCAGAGGAGGTATGGCAGCTTCTGGCTTTCTTCCATGCCAAATGTGCAGAAGCCAACTCCCTTGCACCCTGCCACCAGGGCCCTGGGGACTGCCATCACCTATCCAAGACAGTCCTAAATCTCGTTTTCCCTAAGTTCCACTTTCCCTTCTTCTTGCTTGGGTAGCACATCCTCCAAGTAGCATCTTAAGAAGGGATGGCAGTTCGGGGAGGAGTGGCAGCGGCCAGGTGGGCCAGCTTTGCAAAGGCTTTCGACCTGCAGGCACCCAGCACGCGCCGCCCTGCTGCCAGGATGCCCAAAAGGAAGGTAAGCTCCGCTGAAGGGGCCGCCAAGGAGAGCCCAAGAGGAGATCCGCGCAGTTGTCAGCGAAACCTCCTGCAAAAGTGGAAGCGAAGCCGAAAAAGGCAGCAGCAAAGGATAAATCTTCAGACAAAAAAGAGCAAACTAAAGGGAAAGGGGGAGCAAAGGGAAAACAGGCTGAAATGGCTAACCATGAAACTAAAGAAGATTCACCTGCAGAAAAACGGGGAAAACTGAGTCCAGCCCCTGATGAAGCAGGAGAGAAAGAAGCCAAGTCTGATTAATGCCATATACCATGTCTCTCAGAGGTCCCTGTCTCACTTCTTGTAGAATCCAGAGGAATATTTTTATCAACTATTTTATAAATGCAAGTTTTTCAGTAGCTCTAGAAGCATTTTTAAGAAGGAGGGAATTCCACCTCATCCCATTTTTTAAGTGTAAATGCTTTTTTTAAGAGGTGAAATCAGTTGCTGGCTGTTTATTTTTTGGTACAACCAGAAAACAGTGTGGAATATTGAATTATGGAAGACTTTGTCTCGGGTGTTAGCTTAACATTCCATAGATGGGGGCTTAGTTTTTATATCCTATAATACAAAGCATATTAAATGGCAATATGGAGTCAGTCCTGCATTTAATGTCTTGAACATTTTAAATTACTTCCATTCCCATATTGTTTTTTAGAATTGTTTCCTAAAGAAAACCACTCTGATCCTGGCTCTCCCTGTCAGAACTATGTGCACTCTGTAATATCTTTGGTGTGGTAGTCCTGTTTTCCTAATAACTTTGTTACTGTGCTGTGAAAGATTAAACATTTGAATAAGTAGTGTACACGCTATTCAGCTGTGAACTGCTGGGATGTATGTTACAGCTTATCAACATGTGAAGACACAGGTACTTGATAGCCTCTTAAAAAAAAATCTGCTTCCAAATTTTAAGCTGGAAAGTCACTGGAATAACTTTAGAAAAAAATTACAATGCATGGCTTTTTAGATTTTTGTTATACATGTTAAGAATTGTGTACAGGCCAGGCGCGGTGGCTCAAGCCTGTAATCCCAACACTTTGGGAGGCTGAGGAGGGTGGATCACGAGGTCAAGAGCTCAAGAACATCCTGGTCAACATGGTGAAATCCTGCCTCTACTATAAATACAAAAAATTAGCTGGGCATGGTGGCACGTGCCTGTAATCTCAGCTATTCGGGAGGCTGAGGCAGGAGAATTGCCTGAACCCAGGAGGTGGAGGTTGCGGTGAGCCGAGATCGCGCCATTGCACTCCAGCCTGGGTAACAAGAGCGAAACTCCATCTCAAAAAAAAAAAAAAAAAAAAAGAGGTCTGCTCAGTTTAGTCCTGTTTGTGTCCTGACATTCTCCCTCCAATGTATGTACATAATTGTGTTGTGGGAAAAAAAAATGCAAAATGACATTCTCCCTCCAATGTATGTACGTAATTGTGTTGTGAAAAAAAAATGCAAAATGACTTTTAGAACTTATACATCCCTATGCCGCAAATGACAAATATAATTAAAATGCAATGTAAAAGGAGAAGAAAAACATAGCTTCAAAAACTGAAGAGCATCTGAAAATGTTCCTTTCCCTTTGGGCTATTCTCATATTTCTTCTACTCTCAAATTTCATGTGATTTTTGCTTTTCTCAACGGCAGTCTGCACTTACCTTTAATCTTCTGCGGTTCATTCTAACATACCAATCGGTGAGAATAGGTACAAACTTGACAAGGCGAGGCACCGCAGTGTAAAGCCTCTGAGCTAAAAATAAGACAAGTCAATCAGGCAGCAAGTGAGTACCAGGCACCTGGGGGGGAGAGGGCTGGATATAACAAAGAACGGGTCCGCTTCTTCTATCCAGGGCCTCCACTTACTAAGAACCAAAATGAAGCAATTATGTAATGACCATTTGTTGAGGATGTGCTACCTGGCAGTCAAGGTATTTTGAGATGTACACAAAAAACCATCCTATGAGCCACATGAGAATTCCCACTGGTCAGTGAAAAAAGCCAAAATCTCCAATACCTGTGGATCAAAGTCAAAGGTTGCCCACTACATGAGTGTAGAAAATACCGTTTACAGGGAGTTGTGCAATTTGACAGCATAAACAATGCCCGGGGCCGGGCGTGGTGGCTCACGCCTGTAATCCCAGCACTTTGGGAGGCTGAGGTGGGTGGATCACGAGGTCAAGAGCTTGAGACCATCCTGGTCAACATGGTAAAACCCTGTCTCTACTAAAAATTCAAAAAATTAGCTGGGCATGGTGGCACATGCGTGTAATCCCAGCTACTCAGGAGGCTGAGGCAGAAGAATTGCCTGAACCCAGGAGGTGGAGGTTGCCGTGAGCCGAGATCGCGCCATTGCACTCCAGCCTGGGTAAGGAGAGCGAAACTCTGTCTGAAAAAACAACAACAACAACAACAACAACAAAAAACAACGCCCAACTCCTTTCTATTGCAGTACATTGTACTGCAACTAAAAAACATACAAAAAGCTCAAATCAGATGCTAAAAGGCATAGCATAGGCTAGTGACTCTGAAACAAAAACAATTTTGCCTTTCGAGGAACATGTGTCCATGTTTTTTTTTTTTTTTTTGAGACGGAGTTTCGATCTCATTACCCAGGCTGGAGTGCAATGGCGGGATCTCGACTCACCCCAGCCTCTCTGCCTCCTGGGTTCAGGCAATTCTCCTGCCTCAGCCTCCTGAGTAGCTGGGATTACAGGCACATGCCACCATGCCCAGCTAATTTTTTGTACTTTTAGTAGAGATGGGGTTTCACCATGGTGACCAGGATGGTCTCAGTCTCTTGACCTCGTGAGCTACTGCGCCTGGCCCGAATGAATGTTTTAAGAAACAGTTTGCCTGCCACAACTTGGCAGGTGGAATGGTGCTACTGGAATCTAATGGGTAGACCCCGGAGATGGTGCTCAACATCTTTTAATGCACAGCACAGCCCCGCCACAGAGGATGATCTGGCCCAAACTGTCCAGAGTGCTGCCGTTGAGAAACTGGCATAAGGTATGAATAAAATATAACTTGCTTTCTAAGTATTAAAACGGGTCAAGTAAAAACAGCAAAGGACGTAGTGAAAATCTTGAGGACTTAGGAGGATTTCAAGGGTTCCCTGAAAAACTCAGAGGTCAGACAGGAAAGAAAGGGTGTTAAGCCAGTCGTGTCTGAGGCGAGGCTTATTTTAAGGATTCTCATTCACCTCCCCTTTAAATTAATACTCTGTTGCATTAAAAGAAACACTAAAAGACCAACACTTAGAAACAAACACAATTTATGATCACGAAAAGAATCCAGGGAGTTTTCATGAGGCTTCTGGTATAAGCTAAAGAGATGAGAAGTTGCAGTGGGCAGAGCTGCTCTCTGCTGCTGTTCACAAAGACCAGAACTCGGGTGCCAGTGGTCTGAGCCCCAGGCCAGAGTCGTTAGCTGGTCACACTTTCCTCAACAGGTGATTTCAGTGACTGAGATTCGTCTAAATGATTTCTAGCGTTCACGCCACTTTTTACCTTCCAGGAAGCTCAGGTTTTCTATATTCTGGTTTCAACTCTGAGGGAATAATGATCCCCACATGCAATGAATGAATGTACAACACACGGGGGCAGCAGCAGCAGCCACTACCCAGGCCACTGCCACCCTGTGAGCCAGGTCCTCTCACACCCACAGTGCTGCTGAGGGTGTGGAGGGCATGAAGCTGACAGGCTGGCAGAGCTGGGACTTAAATTTTATCACCCACATGACGTGGCTGCTGATCTCTAGTTTCGAGGCAGATGAGGCTCCAGTCAGGGTGCACACTCTCCAGACCCAGCTTCACCAGATTATGGCAGCTGCTCCAAACAACAATCGCCACATTTCCCACCAAGTCGTATCACTCAGGAGGGAAAAGCAGACACAGCAGCGAGCAGTCTGGGCAGAGTGTGCTGGACTCCCACTGCTGCCCTCCTCAGGGCAGGAATCAGCCTCACACTCACTTCCATCTTCATCGATGTCCATCTTAGCAACAGCTGGACTGTCATGATCCTTCTAAATGTTTAACGACGTCGACAAATCCTTTAGGGCGACTGATTAACAGTCTTTTTGTGCTACGTAGGGCAGTACGGCCTTTTCCAGGGAGTGGCATGTGCCAGTATATAGGCTAATGGTGAATCCTACGTCTGTGGCAGCTGCTGCTCTGCCCAACAGCAGCACGATCTGCAGGGTCCTGTGAGGATGGATTTGCCTTGCCCTCTTTAGTCCTCACTGTGACCCAGGGGCTCTGCCTGCCCACTTTAACTGATTGTCTGAGGTGTCCCAGATTTCTCACCTGGACCTATAGTTATAACTATCTGAAACCCTGAGGAACTCAACGTAATGTAGTCTTGAATCTCTATAAAATTACCCAACAAACTTACTGTTGTTATTTAATAGAAATATAGCAAGATGTTCATTTCATTATTGCTCTTCTGACTTTTTTAATTTTTCTGGAAAAGATGGGGACTATTCAGTAATAGACCTAAAAATAAGTTATAAATGTCATAACAACAAGTATTATTTATTGAGTACCTATTATCTGCCAGCTACTTTATGTAAATCATCTCTACTTAAGCCTGACAAACAGTACTGGGCATTTTGCAGATAAAGACACTGAAGGTCAAGATAGAATGAATGAATAGCATATGTTGGCACAACGGGGTGATTACAGTCAACAATAATTTCTTGTACATGTAAAAACAACTTAAAGGGTATACTTGGGATGTTTAAAGGTACAATAAATGCTTGAGATAATGGATAATACATTTACACTGATGTGATTATTATACATCGTATGCCTGTCTAAAAATATCTCATATACCCCGTAAATATATATCTATATACTCATAAAAATTTTAAAAAAAATAGAAAGAAAGAAAGAAAAAGAAAGAAAGAAAGAAAGAAAAAGAAAGAAAGAAAGAAAGAAAGAAAAAGAAAGAAAGAAAGAAAGAAAGAAAGAAAGAAAGAAAGAAAGAAAAGAAAAGAAAAGAAAAGAAACTGATAGTCAGACTTCAGGCAACTCTCTGGATTGGGAACAAGTGGTACAGCTGGGCTCTGAACCCACAGCTATCGAACTCCAAAGCTCTTCTGTGGAGGGTTGAGCTTACCAAGAAACCCCCTAAAGACAGAATTGCTCAGGCCTTTTTTTTTCTTTAAAGATGGAGTTTCAATTTTGTCACCCAGGCAGTGGTACAATCTCGAGTCAATGCAGAATCCGCCTCCCAAGTTCAAGCGATTCTCCTGCCTCAGCCTCCTGAGTAGCTGGGACTACACATGCCCGCCTACATGGCAAGCTAACTTTTTCTTTAATATAGTTTTAGTAGAGACGGGATTTCAACAATGTTCGCCAGGCTACTCTGGAACTCCTAACCTCAGGTGATCTGCCTCGGCCTCCCAAAATGCTGGGGATTACGGGTGTGAGCCACCAAGCCAGGTCAGAAATCCCCAGGGCCTTGAAACAAAGAGATCCCAACAATTAACAAGCCTTAACAAAACTACATCTGAGAGGTGACAGGAAGTAATTATTTAATTTTCTGTATCTCTCAATATTTCCACTATGTTTATAGACAGATACACACCAAAAAGGCAGTTACAAAGAGAGTAGTTCTGGGAGGACAGACCAAGAGAGACTCACCTGCCATTTCAGTCTCAAAGAAGCCAATGAGAGACTGCATGAAGGACAGAGTCCACTGGTCTGTAACGTTGGGGCTTTTTCTAACCGTGTCCTCATTGTAGAGACATTCTATTTCTTCTTCCTAGGAATGAACATTCAGTTAAACACTTGCACATTGGGGTAAGGGAAATAAACTTTTTAAATCACTTAAACAAAACCAAAAACAAAAATCCCAAAGCCCGCTGGCAATGTGAATTTCTGATTTTCAGCGGTGTTTTCAAGATAAGCACCAACATAGGACATTAAGTCCTCAATTATGTTTTTGAGTGAACCGAAGAGAGTTTAGGAAAACATTACTTCTCTGCGCCAAACAGTAATTAAGAATTGAGAGATATTCTAAACCCTTGTCAGAAAGTGCAGGGTTTAGTTACTTTAAACCTCAGGAAGGAAGGACAGTCAAACTGTCTAGGACTCAATGACTGTCCACAAACTGAAAATGAGTACTGAGAAGTAGCTGCCATGCTAAAGCTGTTCGTGTTACCCAGAATGTTCTAACCCACCCTTTGCAAAATCCTCCTTGATCTTAAGTCCCTGCTCCATACACAGAACTCACGTCCTGCTGTGTTTCTCTGGCAGCACCACAACCAGGCTCTAGCACAGATCTATTCGCTCCAGCAGAGATATATCTGACATGGCTCTGGAGGTACAAAATTAAAATAAATGATGAAAGAGAATTCGAATACCAACAAGACAGTGAACCTAGAAAGGAAGTAAGGCAGAGGCAATCCGCATCTAGCCTGGGGAGGACTTGGACAGCCCGACAACACCCAACAGAGGTCCTCTTCCCCAAACAGACCTCTAGGTTTAAAAGTGCCTTTATTATCAAGAAAACTATTTGGGGAGTTGAAGATCAACAAGCATACCAACGTAACACCCAAATTATAACAGAGATGTGTTGTTAAAAACCTAACTATAAATCAAATCTAAGAATTCGGACTAATAGTATACAAGACGCTTACATGAAAAACAATAAATACACACAAGGCAAAGCACCGGTTTGTACCTGAGCGCATCGGCACCATACTTCTGGATAATGGAAACTGGATCTGAATTATTCTTTTTCCATTTGCTCATTTTTTGGCCATCGCTTGTAAAACAAAAGGGAGATGCCAATTAAGTCAATATCACAGATGATCTTGATAGAAGGATACAAAGCATTTGCAAAAAGGAATACAAAAGAGGAAATGGGAAGGAGTAACTTAGAAGTTAGTGTTAATAGGCCAGTCACAGTGCCTCATGCCTATAATCCCAGCACTTTGGGAGGCCGAGGCAGGCAGATCACCTGAGGTCAGGAGTTCGAGACCAGCCTGGCCAACATAGTGAAACCCTGTGTTTTACTAAAAACACAAAATTTAGCTGCGTGTGGTGGTACACACCTGTAATCCCCACTACTGGGGACGTTGTTCTGGTAAGTTTACCATGATTTTGCTTCAATTGCTCTCCATCGATCTTCTCAGCTAAGATCGAGGTGAGCTGCACGGTGGAAGAGGGCTGCATGGAAGAAGTCAGCTCTGTCTCAGAGGATAAAAGGCCTGGGAACACCTAGACAGGCAGGCACTGCATGGAGGTCACTCCCCTCCCAGCAGCCATGGTGGAGGCATTTCATAGAAATGCTCAAGGACCATTCACATTTAGAATTGAGATCAAACCAAGAACTCATGAGGGATATTGGACAGGAGTTAGAAAGTGAGTTTCTCACACAACTGGAGCAAGGAGGGGAGAACCCTGGGCTTGAGACTTACAATCCACCATCTTCCCTGCAGTGTGGCCCCGGTTATGTTGTCTTGCAACTCTGCCTGCATGTCCAATTGTGTTAGGAAGGGGCAAAGGCTTCCTAAGTGCCAACAGGAAGTGTTTCGGGAAATGATCAGTGCGTACCTGTCTATCTGAAAGCATCTTCCCTTCCTGAAGCCCCTCCCATCAGTGCAAAATTACTGCAGCCCAGCAGGGAGTGATGTGTGTGTGTGTGTGCGTGTGTGTGTGTGTGTGCGTGTGCGTGTCAGGAGATTTTGTTGCTGTGCTCCGAGTACTCACTCCGCATCTCCTCTGACCAGTTTCCTAACACTCCTCCTGCTCACAGCACAGAATGTCAGTGCTCTTTCCTGCCATTTGGATGCTGATAAACGGTCAGTGACTCAGTCTGAAAACGAGAACGAAGCAAATTTTTTTTTAAGGACAGGCTACAAAAATTCCCGTGCTGAGAACCACATGCGATGACACTGAATTCCAAACAGCAAGCATGTATGCTGAAGATTGAGGCCAGCAGTGAGCTGACAGAGGCCAGCCAGGATTCTGAGATGCGCCAGGGTGCATGGGGATGGGACATTGATGGAGAGCATCCTGGCTTGTCTCAGAATGGACATAGGTAGTAGATTCCTAACTCCTGGAGAAACCAGAGCTCTAGGAATTGTAGGCCACTTTATGTTAGGAAACAAAAAGACAACGGGTGTTCTGTCCTCCTGTCCCTTACATCTGGGCCTACTGCTACTGAACCTGGAAGCTGAGACGGGTATACTGGCGACTCCAGACCTCTCGGCGTCAAATCAGACTATTTCTTTTTTTGCAACGGTTGTGTTTAGTGGTGAAGCCAAGATTCACACTTCAGTCTCCTTACTGCAAGTTCTCACTCTCACAGAAAAACTTAACGATAATGAATTAATATGTTACACTTTCTTGGAAAGAGTTACCAGATAAAGTTCAAGATCCCAGTGAGTGGTGAATAATACAGATAAAAGACAAACAGATTTTTTGTAAAAGTATACTCTAAACATCGTGTGAATGACAATTACAACAAAAACTGACCTACTGTTTATCTTGAAGTCAAATTCCACTTGGCATTCCCTATTCATACTTGCTATATCCGGCCGCTCTTCTTCCATGCATTTTTAATTTTAAAAAACAGTACAACATCTCATTCTAGCAATTTACCTGCATAAATAAAGACAGGAACCACATTACTACTGAGACAAACACAGTCACTGCAAATATCAGAACACTGGAACATATTAATATATTAACTTTCGGCCAGGCGCGGTGGCTCACGCCTGTAATCCCAGCACTTTTTGAGGCCAAGGCCCGTGGATCACAAGGTCAAGAGATCGAGACCATCCTAGTCAACAAGGTGAAACCCCATCTCTACCACTAAAAATGCAAAAATTAGCTGGGCCTGGTGGTGCGCGCCTGTAGTCCCAGCTACTCGGGGGGCTGAGGCAGGAGAATTGCTTGAACCCAGGAGGCTGAGGTTGCGGTGAACTGAGATCGTGCCATTGCACTTCAGGCTAGGTAACAACAGTGAAACTCTGTCTCAAAAAAAAAAAAATATATATATATATAAATAAATTTTCACCCCAAAAAACCTGAAAGCATTTGCAGACAGCAAAAATAACTTCATATCCTTTTGTTTGTATAATATATATCTGGAAAGATGAAAAAGAATCAGAACACTCATTTGTTAAAGGAAAGAAAATGTTGTGGACAGGAAAAAGTGGGAGGAAGACTGGTCACTGCCTATTTCACTGTGCACAATCTGAATTTGGAACCATGCAAAAGTATTGTTTGGTTAAATTAAAATCATTGAAAAGATAAAAAATAAACATTGAATACCAGCACAATATGGGGAGAAACAAAATGAAAGGCTTTCTGGCCCCACAGCCACTCTTTCCCAGACTCAGGCTTTCTAGTAACGGGTTTCTGCATGAACCAGGCAGAGGATCCAGACATGGATCGTCTGACAAACACAAGGGTTCTTAGGAAGTGTTCTAAATTGTGTTTAGGATGTGTAACCCCTGTTGAGATTCATCGAGAGTGGGAAAGAGCCCAAGTGGGAAGGAGCATGGGTTGAGGGACACAAAAGTAGGTCTGTTGACAAAGAACGGAAGTAAAGGGGACATCAGGTTGAAGCTTTGTGCCATGAGCCAGAGGGAAAACTTAAAAGTTGCCTAAAGAGGTGCACACAGTCTGCGTTGCTGCCTCCAGCTGGAAGGGAACCTCAGTTCCTGCCTATTGGCTGGAGCCCTTCACAGAATGTCCCCCACCCCTAACAGTACCTGCTGCACTGCCCCTCCCCCTCTGTAGAATGTCTGGGGTCCTGTGTTCTAAACCTACTTTCAAACTTTCACTGATCCACCTTAACTCAGGAGAATCTGTTGAGGCAGGTCACTCTCTGGGTCCTGCCCTTGACTTTTCTCATTGTGAAAACTGTCAGACAGCCTGAGGGGATGGCTTCAAATGGAGGTGAGTCTGTAGGGACAGGGGCATCATCCAAGTTTCTGCCATGTTTCAAATCCTTGGGAATTCAAATTTCACACAGCCCCAGGGGTCAGTTGATAGGGCTAGTGTTGAAGAGGGAGGGAGATCTGGATGTCTCCAAAGACACCACACCTGGGGAGGGCCATGGCACCCTGAGCCTGTGGTTAGGGAGGACGGCTCCTTGGAGGTGGACCAAGATGCCTGGGGAAATACACCACGTAGAGGAAAGGATGGAGCGGATGTATTGATTCTTTCTAGAGGGGGACAGGTCACATCACCATGTGTTTGTAGTGAGTGATGGGATCGTGTTGTGCTGGTGGCCCAGGGAGGATGACAAGCAAGCCTGTGAGCCGTGTTGTGTCTTCAGGCACCTGGAAGGTGCCCTTCCATAGTGTTCACAGGGATTTGGACGAGAGGTTTCTGGATCTCAGGGAGGAGTGGGGAGAAGTGGTCTCAGACAGAAAGCTGTTGGGTGTGTTGGCTGTGACAGCGCATGCAGTGACAGCCTCTGGGTCGGCGAGGCTGGGGCTACTGTAACTGCCACAGCCTCTCAGCTCCCTCCCCAGAGGTGGCTTCTCTGTCAGTTCAGGTAGCTGTTGGCTTTAACAGGGGTGGCGGCAGTTGGGGAAGTTCAGGCAACACGGCCTGGGCTTCCCAGGTTGTTCTGAATTGTTCGTCCTTTTGTGGAAACTCAGGTCTTCAGACCCACTTCCTCTTGTCTGCTAGCTCATGGCCTGTCCTCTGCACTTTGTGTTACTGTGGAAAGGAAGAATTTGCTTCTATTCCATGTCTACTACCTCATAAACAGGGGACAGGTGTGGACTCTTGCTGGTTCTCAGTGGAAGGGTCTGGAAAGACTGGTTTCCTTTTCAGTAGAGGAAGGAGAGCACCGCACAAATAGGAAGAGGGTCCTCTTATTATTATTCAATTAGAATGTGTGTCCTGACTGATGAGGTGCATGTGCTGTATCCCTATCCCCCTAGACTGGAGACTGCATGAGGTCCTAGTGAACAGGGATGAGCTCCAGATAACTTTGCCACACCTGGCCTGTGGCCCAAGAACCTCTGGTTCTTGGTTGCTCTATTCAGTTACTGGGAGCTCAAAGGAAAAGGACCAGAGATGGGCTCGTTGTCCCATGACCTACTGTAACATGACCAGCAGTTGTGAAAATCCCCGGACACCTCCCCGACAGCCCCACTGCTCACCGCTTGCTGGCTGTACTGCCGCTGCTGGCTACGCAATGACGGTATCTCAGGGAACTCCACCACTGCTTCTCAGACCTGCTCCCTGGGAACAGAGCTTCCCGAGTGCCAGCCAGGACCACCGAGCACTGAGGAAAATGTAGTCTGACTCTGACCCATGTTTAGCACTTGCTGGGCATGGTGCCAGAACAATCACTTGCACACTGGGTGTGATACGTATGGGTTATCTTCAGGGTTCACAGGGTGCTGGCTTGGGAGAGATTTCCATCCAGTGGTCTTCTTTCACCGCTTCTTTTTCAAGATGGAGTCTTCCTCTGTCACCGCGGCTAGAATGCAGCCATGCGATCCTGGCTAACTGCCAGGCGCTCTAGTGAAGCGACCCTCCTGTGGAGGAGGAACAGAGCATGCGACGCACACTCAGGGACACCTGCAAGCTGCAGAGTTTCCCTGTCACACGCCCTCAGCTGTAGGACACCCCTCTGATTCCCCAGTGACTAGGGCGGACCTGGAGACCCCAGCTCATTCACCTCTTTCCTTTGTCTCCACAGCATGCCCAGTGCTGGAACTGGGTGTGACTGAGAACCCCGGGGCCATGCCAGTATCCACGGCTCTGTCCACCACACCTGCTCCTGGCCCAGCACATGGGCCGCCCCTCGTGACTGCAGTGGTTCCTCCAGGCGGCCCTCCACTGCTGTCTGCCTTCCCCGAGACACCTCTGGTGGCAGGACAGGATGGCCGTGCCCCAAACTGGATTGGGGTTTCCAACATCTTTGGCCAGACGATGACAGAAATGGGGCCTGTGAAGGCCCCTCAGGCACAGACCTCGGTCCTAACTCAGGCACCCCTCGTGTGGCAGGCTCCAGGTGCCGTCTGTGAGGGCGTCGCATGTCCACCTCCCCGACCCCTGGCAGCTGCCCCTGTGGTGCCCGCTATGGCTGCTCACATCCTTGGGGGCACCCAGGCCTGCGAGGGAGGCTGGTCCCAGGGCCTTCCTCCTCCAGCACCACCACCGGCTCCCCAGCTGGCCCCCATCATGGACCCAGGGAATGCTTGTCCATGGCCACAAGGGGCTCATGGAGAGGGAGGCCAAGCTTCCACCCAGGCCAAGGCCCAACCTGACGATTCCTGCAACCCCAAGAGTGTGTATGAGAACTTCCGACTCTGGCAGCACTACAAGCCCCTGGCCCAGAGGCACCTTCCCCAGAGTCCAGACATGGAAGCGCTTTCCTGTTTCTTCATGTGAGTGTCCTCGGGGCACCAGAGCTCATCCTGCAGCTCACCAATAAAGAGGCCGCTGGATGGACGGGAGGTCACGCTGTCCAGGGGATCTTGCAGGGCGGTCTGGTTGAGCTACAGAAGGGCACATTTTCAGCAACATTAATCTGGCTGCCACTTAGGACAGACTCTCAGGGGCCTCACCTCACCTGCCCCTCACTGTCCCATGAGTCCAGCCAATCCTTTCCTACTGGGCAGGTATTTGCAGCTTTACCCTTGATCCCTTCTAGAAAAAGGGACAATGATGCTTCATTCAGAGGATGGTGAAGAGGTGACTTGAGTCACATATGATCCATGTAGAACAGTGCCCGGCACATACTGCGACACATTACATGACAGCTGTTATGATTACCGCCCCTATTGCTATCATTATCAGGGCTAGGCCATCTAGGACAGCGCTCTCCAAAGCCACCGGCTCCAGTGATGGCTCGGAGTGCACCACGAGCCCAGCAGCCCAGGGCGGTGGACTGTGGTGACTGAGGCAGCAATGCCAGCATGTGAGAGTTTGTTGATTCAGTCCCAGTCCTGCCTCTTTCCATCCTGCAGTGCCTCGGTGACCCTGTGTCCCCCGCGATGAGCAAACCCGTGCTCCACGGGAGTTTGAGCACATCCACCAGACAACACATTGGCCGCTCCCCTAGGCCAATCTCCTGCCCAGGGTGTAGGTGTAAGGAGGCCCCATCCTTGTCTCAAAAAATCTTGCCGCCCTGCATCCTGGAACTGGTTGCATTCTCCCTTGGAGCTGAGTCCCGGTGCACTGGAGACCCTGATTCGTGGAGTGGAGTTGCCCCAGGCTCCCAGACTTGGCGTGGAGGGGGCCTCGATGATACTCTGCTTTACTTCTGATTTCTGCTCCTCTCCAGGACCCTGAGGCTGCGTCCCTAGGGGCTGCCTTGCTCCAGAGTCCCCAGGAAGCTGCTTAAATGCTCAGTCCTGGGGCCCTGGAACCTGCACGTTAAACCTCACTCCCCGGTCATTCTGTGTGCGCACTGTCTCAGCCAGTTCAGGCTCTACCATAACAAATCCTATAGACTGGGTGCTTTATCAGGACACATTCACGTCTCCCAATTCCAGAGGCCGGAAGTCCCAGATCAAGGAGACAGCAGATTGGTGTCCTGGCTGGAGAGGGCTGCCTCTGGCTATGTCCTCTTTCGGCTAAGAGGGAGAGCCCTGGTGTCTCCTCCTGCCCTTATCGGGGCTCGGATGCCATGGTGGGAACCCAGCTTCATGACCTGCTCTAACCCTGATTAACTCCAAGAACTGAAACATGGGGGCTTAGGGCTTCAGCACGGGAATGCTGGGGACCCTCATGTTCCATAGTAATGCATTCACTTGTCAATACTGTAACACTGAAGACTAGAGGGGCAGGTGGAGAGGCCAGCCAGTGGCTTCTGTTGATGATTGATCTTGGAAGCATATCCCGCCCACGTGGGGAAGAACAGGACAGGGACCGGGTGTTTGGACCAGGTGGGCTTGAGATGGAGGGTGGGCTTACGGAGTGGGACTGACTGCACTGCCTTACAGCCCAGTTCTCAGAGACCTGGCCAGGTGGAAGCCCAGCATGACCCTGGAGGAGGGACTGTGGCAGGCCACGCAGGAATGGCAGCACACGAGCAACTTTGACCGGATGATCTACTACGAGATGGCGGCAAAGTGAGTCTGGGGTGCAAGGGCAGAGCCCACATGGCAGGGTGGGAGAGGGTGACAGAGGCCCGGTGGCCATGGTGACTTCTCAGCGTGGAGCATGAGAAAGGTGTGGACAAACACAGGCCCTCCTGGGCCGCTGGCTCCCTCAGGAAGCTGCTCCTCTCTCCTAGAGTGCTCTGGGGTCTCTATCCTGCCTTGGTGGGAAGCCATGCCCTGCCTGGCCTGGGGCCAACCCCTGCCTGACACTAAGGGTCAGGGAGGAAGCAGCCAGCATCACAGCCCAAAGGAGATCACCGCCAGCTGTGAGGATGGGGAGAAGGGGTGCTGGCAACTATAGACAGAGCGGGGTGCACTCTCCTGACAGCAGTGGCCAGAAGTAGGCTTTCACCCATCCCAGCCTGGCCGGGAGCTGGGGAGACCTGCGTCCAGGACACCATGAGACCCATCTCTGGCCTGCCTGCTTTTGCTCCTCCTAGTCCCCTCCTTTCAGACAGAAAGACAGCAGCCTCGGGGGAAAGGGGCCTCCCAGGCTTCATGTTCCTGGGTTAGCCTTCACGGACCCACAGTCCCAACCTCAGGCCTCCTGCATCTGGGCAACATCATGGATGCCTTCTGCCAGAAACCTCTCCCGTGGCCAGCTGAAGGCTGGAGGAGTGGAACCCGTGGTGCCCTCCTGGGCCTTGTAGCCCTCACTTAAGTCAAAATGCCCTGTTGATGCCATGGGCTCTGTAGGGGCCTGGTGAGGGAGGGAGAGCCCAGAACTCTGGGAGCAGTTCCTTCTGGGACTGGGGGATGGGCCCCAGGGAGGGTCTGGACAACATGCCAGAGGCGTGCCTTCCCATCCCTGCTATCGGCTGCTGCCTGGTCCTGGGGGAAGGGGGCCTGGACCCTCTCAGCACAGCCTGCACCTTCTTCACCCCAGGTTCCTGGAGTTTGAGGCTGAGGAGGAGATGCAGATTCAGAACTTGAAGTGGATGAAGGGGCCCCAGTGCCTGCCTCCTCCAGCTCTACTGAGGCTTGAACCTCGGGGACCGTCAGCCCCTGAGGTGGTCAAGGAGCCAGGTACGGATTCCCACAGGAGCCACGGCAAAGGCCCGAGGGGCCAGGGGAGGCCACTGTCCCCACACCCCATGTCTCCCTTCAAGAGAGGGATTTGTTCCTTCCAACTAGACAGCTCAGGGGAGCCGGGCTGGGCTGCCCATGGTCATGAAGTGGGTATTCACCTGGTCACTTTTCCTAGCTACTCTCTCCCCTCGCCATTGCAAAACTTAACAATCTACCCAGGAAGCAGGGGTGAGCAGGTGGAGTACTCAGTGTATCAGTGACCCCAAGCTTCCTCCAAAATGATGTGCTGTCTCACAAGTGCCCCTCCTATGGCGTCTCTTCCAGGGGCGCTGTGGTTCAGGTGGTCCTGACCCAGCTGGGACCCACTTCAGGTCCCTGAGCCCTGCCCTCCCCTGTGTGATGCAGGCAGGAGGAGCAGCCCTCACCATGCCCATCCTCCTCCCTCCCTGCCTCAGTGTACCTTCCCAGCAAGGCCGGCCCCAAGGCCCCGCCTGCCTGCCTGCCACCACCCAGGCCCCAGCAGCCAGCGGAGACCAAGGCCCACCTGCCACCACCCAGGCCCCAGCCGCCAGTGGAGACCAAGGCCCACCTGCCACCACGCAGGCCCCAGCAGCCAGCGGAGACCAAGGCCCCCGAGGAGATACCCCCTGAAGTGGTGCAGGAGTATGTGGACATCATGGAGGAGCTGCTGGGGCCTCCCGTTGGGACCACGGGGGAGCTTGAGGGACAACGGGAAGAGGGAGAAGTGGAGCAGCAAGGACACGGGATGCTTCTAGACCCAGGCGTCCTGGGCTACGTCGACAATCTGTGTTCCCAGAAAGACTTCGTCACCAAGGTGGGCTGGCCTGAAGTGCTGGGGTCTGCAGGATTCCAGGGGGTGGCACTCGCAGGTCCTTGGAATTAAGCTCTGTTCCTTAGCTACTCCACAGTAGATGGATATGTGTTGCCGTCGATTTGAGGGTCTGTGTATGTGATTGTGTCTGTGTCTTTGTATCTGTGACTGGTTACTGTATCGGTGTGGGTGTGAGTGTGGAATGTGTAAGTTACTTGTGTCTATTTTCCTGTGTCATATGTGGGTCTGTTTGTGTGTCTCTGTCTGCATGTGTCTATGCTACCAGGTCTGTGGTCTGTGCGTGGAGCTGGTGGTCGCCATGATATAAAACAGCTCCAGAAGGGTGGGGACGCGGCCCTCACTGCTTTCTGCATCTCCTCCAGGTGTCCTTGGCTCCACCTTATTCCCTGCCCAAAAACCTCACGCCGCCTTCCTTCTGTTTCCAGGTAGAGGCGATCATTCACCCCCGATTACTGGAGGAACTGCTTTCCCCAGATCCACAGATGGATTTCTTGGCCCTAAGCCAGGAGCTGGAGCAGGAGGAAGGACTCACCCTTGCCCAGGTAGAGCAGGGAGGGGAACCCCGGTACCCTGGGGGCAGGAGGGACCTGGCATACAAGCCCCACCCGATTGCCTACCCCACCCTGCAGGGGATGCTTGGCATCTTGGAGGCCACTCCGAGGTAGGGAGGTGCAGGTTCAGATGGAGCAGGATGGAGAGGAGCCAGAGAGGGGAG